CCAATATTTAAAGCGGACGTTGTTTTTTTTACCTGCCAGCAGGGGGTTCTGGTATGACCTTTGACCTTTTGTTGTTGTTTTCCACTAGGACTTTGTAAAGTTCAGATGATATAATCACTTCAATAACTTCTCGATGTAATGGTGATAGACTTTTCTTAAATTCCTTGTGATTGTTCAATTTTTTTATAAGCAATAGTTCTGGATATCCTGTAGAATGATATCTTCACTTCTGACACCACGTGTAATACCCATGTATAGGACGGGGTGGTGTGTTGTCCTCGGTATTATAATTAAACAGGTATATTCTTGAATGGCCTGTACGCAGTTCTAAGATTTATACTAAGAATGGAATTTAAAAAAAAGACTTCACCTTGTTGTTATTTATCTGCTTAATTTAGCTCAATCCCGGTATGTCAAATTTGGTGGCGTTATACCTTTAACTGATTATTTTATAACAACAGCATTTAAAACATTTGTATATTTATTAAACAATAACTGTAATAAGAAATTATGTTTGCATACAACAAAATTTAATTCTCTTAATTGTTCTTAGTAATAATATATTAGCGATAATCTGGTACATGTTAACTGTCTTTTCCGCGGAAATGGTACCTTTTCGTTTCATATATAGAGGATACCATTGCACAAAGAGAATGGTTACGGATGCGCGCTTACGTATGTTTACTGTAAAATCAAGTGTTAAAAGTTACGCCGTAACTAGAATATAACAGTTGTGCACATAAAGATACACAGTAAATATATAATGACTTTGTTAACCTTGGTTACGTGATGTTAATAAGTTACGAACAATAACGTTTACAAAGTTTTCCTAGCGGACTATTTCTAAACTAACATTGGTTACACTTATTCGAACCAGAACCGCCAAATGAAGTTTTTCGCCTCTATTTATAGACTTGTTGTCGCGTATGAATTCCGTACCGTAACTATATAGCAGTCTATGAATTCTATTGGTCGAGCTTTCCTGGAATTGGTTGCGGAATGCGTAATTTGCCTTGAATTCATACACTTCAAAACTACAGTTCCGTAACCAACTTGCGTAACTCAAATTAAAAGTCATAAAATACTTTTGCAAGTAAACTCATTAATCCAGTATTTGCAATAAAATATATGTCAAAATATCTTTCTGTTACTTAAAAATCTTTCCGTATGATAACTAGCGTTTGGGCACTATTTTTGTACACAAACATTTGCAGACATCGTGACAGGATGAAAACATACACAAATATAAGCTACTCTCTGGATGTTACGAGTTCATTCATACATTGTAGTTGACATGAATAAAGTAAGGTTTATAGTTTACATTTGAATAGATATTGTTTTTAAATTTACTTTCTGTTATAGGTTACGGATCATTTGTAACATATTTTCGCGATCTTTAAAAATCGTTCCAAATTTTACACAACATGTAACATAGCTGTATGAAGTTTATTGAAGCAACCATTTCCTTACACTATGTATGAATGACACTAGTAACACTAATATAATTATGTATTATAATGTATTTTTCTTTCGATGTAGAAATATATCTCACCTTAAAGGATGACTTATCCACCAGAATAATCATCTCAAAGAATGCGTTTTGTCGGAAAGGAAATGGACAACTCAGCGACTTTTCTTCTTGACCCCATGATCCATTGATATTTGCATTCCTGACGATTTCGTTGTGGCAGTTACCATAATCAAAACGAACGTCAAAATGGAAGGCATTTGATTTACTCTGGCCACCGACGCTCTTCAGATTGATCGAAAATCTACGTAAAAAGATATAGATATCTCTAAATTAAAGACGAATAGCTGTTTTGAAAAAAGTTAAAGAACCTAATAATATTGTTAGCTTTTTTTTTTCTTTTTTTTTAAAAACTGAATATTCTTTCAGTGATATAAAACCATGATTGGTAAGTATAATGAGCTTAGGGAATACATTGACATACTCTATTTTTCAACAAGCCGTAAAGCATACTTCATATACGAATATAAAAAGTAAAAACAATCTTCAAATAGTAACGCATACTTTGAATCGATAAAATTGTCAAACATTGTCAAGGAATTTAGCTTTTGGAAACAACTAAATCAGTCATGTAAACAAAAGTATGGCTCCTTTTAAACAATAAGTTGAATTTTGAGATAAAATACTTTTTAAACAAGGAAGATGAGGGTATTTGCTGGATTACACAGCAAGAGAAGAACTTTCACCTTGAATAATGCTAGCATTTCTGTTAAAGCATGATCCAACAGTACACGCAAACCATCATGTAAGCTTAGATTACATACTTTATATTTGTTAATTTGACCGGAAGGTATGGACCGTAGTAAAAGCACAAACATTTGAAATACAGACTGTCCTTGGCATGCTAACACTGTATAATCGAATTAGTAATGTATGTTATTCATTTCTCTTATAATACAACATTATATAGTTCGACCTTTTTCCTGATCGTTGAAAATTTAGTTTCCGTTTTGTCATTTGCGGTCATTTAATTTTGTTAGAACGAAATTAATATCATTTTATCTATTGCAACATTTCAGTTCAACAATATGTTATTTTAAGGTTATTCTTTACCTTGAACTACTCGGAGATGGGATTCCACTAATGAAGATCATCTTTCCCGGATATAGACAACCCAAGCGATGTCTAAATGGTAAAGACTGTAATAAAACGTTTTTTTTCCATAAAGTAAAATACAGTTTGAAAAGTTTATCATCATCAAAAATTTCGAAATAATCTAAAATTTATAATTGCAAGATTATTCGTGACATTTATTATATTTATGGTACATATTCGTAATTATTGAATTATTATTATTAATTATTAAACAAAGCAGACATACGGATCTTGCAACAATATATTTATCAAAACCATCCTAGTCAAACGATATGCAAAGTCATTATATTAATAGCATTATATCGTATTCTTTTTATAGAAGCAAAACTAAACACAAATATAGAAGAAACATCATTCGGAACTGCCTCGGCTATTATCTATAATAACCTCGGAAACAATACTTCTACCACGTGGTTTCGGATGTAAACAGAAACAGAGATAATGTAAAACGAATGCATATATTTGACATCAAATGTCTGTTCAGGTACTCTTATGCTTGAAAATATGTCTGACAACAATTTGTAATTTAAATATGCCCACTGATGTTCAATTTTAAACAAATCCGACTAAATGCCAACAGGTTGGTTTTTTGTACTTTCTGTTTCTACAACCATAATAATAAATATATAAATAATGTATTGTTTGCTTTTGTAACTATGAATTCACTTATTTTAGGTGGACTTTTACTACATATATTGAAAATAAACTTGTCAACAACTCCCAGCATTAAATTACTATTTGTTTACATGTTTAGTTTCTTAGCGTAGGTTAGACCGAAATACCGCATCCGTTCTGTGTATTCGAGGTCCTTATCCGAAGACTGACGGAAATGGCCGAGTAGTTGCGATTGAAGAAACGACAAAATATATTTCTAAAATGTCAAATACCATACATACAGAAGTAAAACACACACACGCGCGCGCGCACCAATGCACACACACACACACAAACTTGTAATAAGGGTTTTTTTAATAACCAGGCTGAATAATACTTACTGGGTCATAAAATTTTTGTCCACATAAACCCTGGCAACAGCTTTCCCCAGGATACTGTAAAAAGAAGATATATTATTACCATCAACAAAAGAGATACTAATACTTTTCAAGATTTTATGACCATTTTCATCTATGAAAAATTTTCTGTTCACTTAGACTGAAATGATACTGTGCCAAAACATGTTTTGCTATATTGCAAGGTCGTTTTGTTTAATTTGTCTGTGAAATTCCACATCCTATTTTTAAATTAAAATTAATAACACAGGTAATGTATTGCGATGCTTAGGTTAAAAAAGTTATATATTTGGAGTTTGGGTTTGTTTAGCTTTACCTCTATCCTGCTAAGTTTGTTATATTGATTTACCCTGATTTGAGTTTGGAATAGATTGCTGTTCATTTTAAATGGTTTCTTATATCAGATATTAGACAACATTATTAATTTAACTATTCGAAAGCTATGCTATACTAACATAAAAACAAGCAATTATCATAGTATTGCAAGCAATCCATAAGTCCCCTACCGGTTAGAACCCCATAAACATTCTGAAGGGCCATTGACCATTCACTAATGTTTCAATTTTTCTCTATTTTAAGTAAATTTGTTGGAAAAGTTCTTTAAAAGTTATCACAGGAAACAGTTTTTATGAACAGACAGACAGACGGACTGAGGACACTCTAAAGTTAATATTTGAAACATCCCTGTTATCAAAATATAACATTTTAAAAGCAAAATTCTTAAAGAGGAGATAACTCTTGAATTAACGATGCAATTTCATAAAAAAATTTCAGCTCTTTTTGACTAATCACAAATATTGTTATATTTGCCATGTTTTAAGCCTATTTGTTGCCAAGGCAACTGATATTTTATCAAAATAGGAAGAACAGATAAGACATGCATAATCTCAAGACTGCTATCTACCCATATGTCAAGTTTCATAAAAATATTTCCAGTACTTTTTGAGTTATCACTGGATTCAGTTTATGTGTAACATTTGCCAAATTTTCAGTCTATGTGTTGCCATAGCAACCAGAACTTTCAACATAGGAAGAAAAGAAAAAGACGTGCATAATCTCAAGACTGCCATCTACCCATATGTCAAGTTTCATTAAAAATATTTCCAGTACTTTTTGCGTTATCACTGGATCCAGTTTATGTGTAAAATTTGCCATATTTTCAGCATATTTGTTGCCATAGCAACCAGCATTTTCAACATAGGAAGAAAAGAAAAAGACGTGCATTATCTCAAGACTGCCATCGACTCATATGTCAAGTTTCATAAACATATTTCCAGTACTTTTTGCGTTATCACTGGATCCAGTTTATGTGTAAAATTTGCCATATTTTCAGCCTATTTGTTGCCATAGCAACCAGAATTTTCAACATATGAAGAAAAGAAAAAGACGTGCATAATCTCCATACTGCCATCTATCTATAGACCAAGTTTCATAAAAATATTTTCAGCACTTTTCAAGTTATCGCGGGATCCAGTTTTGTGGACGGACGGACTGACAGACGGACGGACAGACGGACGGAGGGTAAACCTAAAGTCCCCTCCGGTAAACCGGTAGGGGACTAATAAAATGGTAAGTAAAACTATAGTCGGTCACTGTCAATCTGTCAATGTGCACGATATTAGATAACATTATCAATTTAACTATTCGAAAGCTATGCTTTACTAACATAAAAAATAAAATGTTTATAAATAGATCTTCAAAAATCAAAGGACATACAAGCGTTTAGACATTCGGTAAACAGCCGATAAACAAAACATAAGCTAGTCAGACCCCCGCACACACCCCCACCCCCACCCACTGTATCGCTCACTCAAGTGAAAAAAGAGCGCTTAAATATGGAAAGCCATGGCTGTCTTATATTGTTTTTTGTGGGTTTTTTTTCAATTAATTTAACCATTTGGATAATATATAAGTTCCCTTCGACAATATATGATTTGAAAGCACTTTCTTATTAAACCGGAAACCATTATATAAATCCAAAGTACAATATATGAAACCATGCCATCAGTGTATGAAAACCAAAGTATTATATATAAGTTGATGTTCTCAATATATGATACCAGTTCATTAATATATGGTACCAAAGTAGCCATATATGGAACCAGATATCCTTATATGAATCCGAATTATCAATACATTACTCCATTTTTCTATATATAAAATCATGTCAATGTATGAAACCAAAGTATCAATATATAAGTTGATTCACATTATATGTTACCAATTCTTTGATTTACGGTACCAAATTAACCATTTATTGAACCGAAGTGTCTTTATATGAAACCGAATTATCAATATATTAATGCATTTTTACAATATATGAAACCATTCAATCAATGTATGGAAGCAAACTATCAATATTTAAGTTGATTATCACATTATATGATACCAGCCATTCATTATATGGAACTAAATAAGCCATATGATATATGGAACCAGGAATCCTTATATGGAACCGAATTATAAATATATTGATTCATTTTTAAAACATATGAAACCACTTTATCGATGTACTGAACCAAAGTAGCAATATGTAAGTTGATTTTCTCAATATATGATACCAATTCTTCAATATGGGTACTTAAGTAGCAATGTATGGAACTATATGTCCTTATATGAAACCGAATTATCAAAATATTTATTCATTTATTATATATATATGAAACCATTTTAAAAATGTATGGAACCGAAATAGCAATATATAAGTTGATTATCACATTACTAGTATATGATACCAGTTATTCAATTTATGGCACCAAAGTAGCCATGTATGGAACCAGATGCCCTTATATGAAACCAAATTATCAATTTATTAATTCATTTTACAATATATGAAACCAAATTATCAATGTATGGAACCGAAGTAGCTATATATAAGTTGGTTATCACATTAAATGATTCCAATTCATATATTGAAGAATTGGTATCATATAATGTGATAACCAACTTATACAATGCTTCTTGTGTTCCATACATTGATTAAATGGTTTCATATATTGTAAATTCTAACACTCACGTGATTTTGTCACTATAGACAAAGAAGGAAAAAAACTGGTGTTAAACTGCCAATAAACACCGGTTAGGGACTACTTGTATATGCGCTGTTATGTTTTCACCCTCGATTGTATAGTTTAAGCAACAATTAAAAGCATTTTTATTTATATTTTCAGTTCGTATAATGTTTTCTTTTCATAAAATACCGAAATAATATCTCACATACACTAACGCCACATATTAGATCCATATCAGTAAATAAATATTTTTACAAAACGGCGCCAATCCGTAAGCAGCGTAATGACGTCATCGTAAGTAAACAACTCATTCATAAACAAGCTGACGTTATTTCATACAGACAAGAACGATAAATGGGGCACTGATGTAAACACAATACGACGTAAGTAATTATTGTTGAAAACTTGATAAAATAACGTTTTTTTTCTTATTATTTCTTTTGTTTAATAATTTCTATATCTTCGCAACAGTAGGGTGCGAAAATCGAACAGCGTTATACGAAAATCGGCACCGGAAGTTATTTCCGCTTGAAAAATAACATTAGTGATTTTCCTTATTTCATCGTGTTAGAATCGAAATAACATCGGCCTGAGAGGTGTATATCGGCTATTTAACACCGGGTTTGGAGTTTTGATACGTAGGAATTGACCACGTAGGCCGATATACACCTCTCAGGCCGATGTTATTTCTTAAATGAATTAATAAATTGATAATTTGGTTTCATATGAGGATATCTGGTTCCATATATGGCTACTTTGGTGCCATATATATATTGAAGAATTAGTATCATATAAAGTGATAAGGCTAAAGCAACTTATATATTGCTACTTCGGTCCCATACATTGATATATTGGTTTCATATATTGTAAAATGAATATATATATATTGATAATTCGGTTTCGTATAAGAATGTCTCGTTCCAAACATGGCTACTTTGGTACCATGTATTGAAGAACTGGTATCATATATTGAGAAAATCAACTTATATATTGCTACCTTGGTTTCATACACTGACGGTATGGTTTCATATATTGTAACTGTGGATTAATATAATGGCTTACGATTTAATAAGGTGTTTTCAATTCATATATTGTCGAAGGGGGCTTATATATTATCCAAAATGGCTAAATTAATTGAAAAAGAACGATATAAGACAGCCATGGCTTTCCATACCTGAATGCCATTTCATTTAGTCTGTATATGTAGATCTATATTAGTAATAGCGATTAGATACAAATTATAAATAACAATAATCATTCGACTATTGACATAGATTTATTATTTAATATTAATGGCCAAATGATGTCTATTAGAGACATGTTAAAAGAAGAAAATGAGCAATTAACAATTTGAAATAAAGTAAAAGTATATTTAACGCTGATACTAAGAGAGGCTCAAAAATACACCCTTACATACTGGTATTACTATGATGGAAAGAAAATATATCGCCCATTTTTTTTATTTATCTCGTATGACAATACAGAATTTACTCTAAGAACTTTAAGCATGCACGTTCATGACTATGCCGTCTCTCTAAGAAATTATTTTAATCTATTCTTTTTATATTGATAGTTTAAAGGGACTCCACTGAGATTTTTTGACATGATGGGACTGAAAATATTGTTTCCAGATAAATATACCATTTGATGTAGGCTTAAACCAAACATCTTTGTGCAAAATTTCAGATCATTCGCGCACTTCGTTTTTCCAGAATAATTATTCGAATTGTAAAAAAATGACCCAAAATGAAAAGCGTTTAAACACTTTTCACTCAAATCGGGCTAAGAAAAGCATAAAAATACAATTTTCAATTCATTTCAAAATATATTTCTTATCTATCTTTGCATATATTTCTTTTTAAAGTGCCCTAGCTCATTTATGTAAGAAATTCAAACGTTATGTTTTTAGGCTTTTACGAGAAGTTAAAACGTTTAAAAACTGAACACGTTGTCATGTCTGCCACATATTAGTTATTTGATTTGTTCGTAATGAGGAAAATATCGAACGAAGATCATTGATGCTGTGACAGAAGCTGAGAAAATGACGATCGCATTATTTATGCAAAACAGCAAGAAGAAATAAAGTTTTTATCTAGCATTCATGTCACGAACTAGGATATCCATAGAGACAGCCGCGTATCGTTCCTTCCTTTATTCGTTCCTTTTCTCATTTCTTTACTTACAAGGTGTAATTGTAGAGAAATATTTACAAAACAGACTTTCTTATTTTTGGAAAAACAGGCATCAATTTTGAGTGCGTTATAGAATAATGCTCGATTCGAGTTAAAATGCGCAATACTAGTAAAACATGTATTAAATATAGCTAATTAATAACGATATAAACATTTCAAGAACGACAAACTGTGTATAATAGAACATTTACCTCCGTATACGAAGAGCATTACATATTGTAAATACGAGTCATTCATGAACTTTACATACAGTAGATGTAGCAAAAACTTTACGCAGAAAGAGCATTTAATATGCAACTTTAAATAATTCAAACGAAATCCAATATCGCCATATGATTGGATGGCTGTACAGTTAAAATATCGAGTTCCTGTACCAATAAATATTAACAAAAAAGACATAAAGTATATTATATTTGTACATATAATTTCTGAATGCATGATTGTATTAATTATTATACTCAAAGAAGTGCCCTCGTACGAGTATTACATGTAATTATATCATAAACATGTGTTTCATATCACATGAAGAAGCAAGAAAGCTTGACTATTACATCTATATTTATAATAGCTTTGTCATCATTGGATGTTGCTAATTCCAGTAGGTTTATGTATTGACTCCGAGTATCTAAAATTAATTGAACAAAAATGAAATTATTTTTGTTTCGAACAATACGTAGTTTATGGTATCTGTTATATCTATAGCAAATATTTATGATTTTACGTTAATTCGATTCACCTTTATAATTTTGAACGATTTTCATGTGCGTGTACTGTATATAATGGAGTATATGTGTAAAAGTAAAATTCTTAAAATGACAGAAGAAAGCATACATATTCTCGCCCCACCCACCCTTTTTATGTTCTTTTTTTATTTTTACAGTCTTTTCTTAGTTCCAGATATTTTCAGTTGATTTCATCATGACTCCGCGGAAATTCGAGACAGCCCGCATTCCAGCAGATGTTTTTTGCAAAAGACTAGAGAAATGATAGTTCTTGAAATGTATTAATTAAAAATACTGAATTTATTGAACTAGTTAAATAAAATTATTTTATGAGAGACTGTGGCGAGTCGCAAAAGCGGCAAGAGTATGTGATAAACAGTGTTATACATAACTAGTTTTATAAGATAGCAGAAATAGTGATCAACTTTGAATTAAATAATTAAAGCTACATGATATGGGTTAACAATATAGTGTTAAACTAGGGCTATTTATTTCATTGGGATCAGTTGAAAATTTCACAGTTTATATTCAAGCAAATGTCAAATTATAGCAATTAAATACATCAATAGTAGTACGAAAGTAACTCTACCCTTTTAAAAATATTTTATGCAATTTACTAATACATTTCTATTCAATGGGACGAATCCGATATCTGTTTTTCAATACGCTGTGCACCTAATGCAAAACAAATAACTCCTAAAAATTCATGGCCGAAAAGGATATTTGATACTTTACAAAACACACTTTTCAGATAGAAATGTGTTCTTCTGACAATCACACCATCTAGTAGTCATAGTTCAATGTAATAATACACAAGGTTAGCTTTTAAAAAAGCCAGTAGCGACTCGCTTCGTAATTTTTTTCCAGGTGTAAAAATGACAGTTCTGTTAGCTGAAGAGACTTCAGCGAACATCAAAATAAAAGTGACATATAAAGTTATGGAAGCCAGTTCTCTCAGTTTAACAAAGAGGAATATGAGTATATATGAAGATGCATGTAAACAGATATAATGAAGTCCCTATGTCTATGCACATTTACTATATGGCCTGTTGACCTTGACCAAAAAAATGTTAGATAGGTAGAATTCATAAAGATGTCTCTTTATACGAAGTTAAGTTGTAACACAGGAACTTGAAATTCTATCAATATTAATGATAATATCCAAAATATACCCCCTATACAGTATAAATGTTTATTTATAGTATATAGGGGGTATATTTGAATATTATCATTAATATCGGTTATTTGATAGAATTTCAAGTTCCTGTGGTTGTAATATGTTATTTAGTATTGGAATGAGTGACAGACACAAGTCCAATACAGGAATATATTACTGAAGAACTCTCTTGGGTGTGGGCGAATTTAGATTCATTTGATTTGTACAAGTTCTCAAGGCATTGGTACATATTCAATATTAAAGCTGGAGACATTGAAGTTTATATCAATAATAAGACTTAAACATATTTTCCCTAAGCATTTTAATAAAAATTATGTCCACTTAATTAATCTTGGTATGTGAAACATTTTAAACAAATGGATATGATGTAGATACATGAACAAAATTTTAAAGTGGTCAACAAGGCAATACCACATGCCAAATATTTAAGGTTTAGTATAAAGGTGTGCGTATGTGTTTCAATATAAGACGTGTCCTTGACCTACGTGTAGAACAATATGAACAACTATGAAAGAGGACTCCTGTAGTGTGGTTAATGTGCAGTCTTTGGTTTCATAGATATCATTTTAAGAGAAACTAAATTACACATTAGGGACAACAGATGAATAGGGATCCCAATTCCTGTTTATGCTCACCAGAGCACAACTTGCTCATAATGAGCATAAAAGGAGGGCTTGGTATAATGATCATATCCTGTACAAAGATTTAACGACAATAATCAACAAAAATATAGTTTATTCCTTTTCCCTATATATCTAATACTATCCCGGATCCCGGGATTTTCCCCCCACCCTAAATACCGGAAAGGATAAAATGACCGGGAAAAAAAAGAATAAAATGCACAGAACCAGATGTACACTAATGGTAATTAACCAAACGAAAACTTACTACAGAGAAAACAGGTGAAATCGCTAAATCAAAAGTCAGTATAAATATGATTTATTGAAAAGAATTCATGAAAATAAACATTTTAATCATCATTATATCTTTGCGCTCAAAGCAATACTTGCTGCTGTTTAAAAATGGCGTGAAAATAGAATTTTTTTTGACGCTATGTTAGATTAAATTTGATTGGCTAAATAATTTTGGATTCCAGCCCTGACAGATAAATTTTGTAGAAAGCTGGAAGCCAAGCTTCGATTAAGTTTTTGGATGGATTCGGAGTTTTAGGTTGTTTCTCAGTAAAATCCTAACGCAATACCGGCTCGCCGTGGCGAGCCGGCAAAATAGCACTATCTAGTAGTGATCGTTCAATGTAATATTAAAAAAAGCACTATCAAGTAGTCATCGTTCAATGTAATAATACAAAATAGCACTATGTAGTAGTCATCGGTCAATGTAATAATACAAAATAGCACTATCTAGTAGTCATCGTTATCTAGTAGTCATCGTTCAATGTTACAGTACAAAATAGCACTATCTAGTAGTCATCGTTCAATGTTATAATACAAAATATCACTATCTAGTAGTCATCGTTCATTGTTACAAAACAAAATAGCACTATCTTGTTTTCATAGTTTAATGTAACAATACAAAATAGCACTATCTAGTAGTCATCGTTCAATGTAATAATACAAAATAGCACTATCTAGTAGTCATCGTTCATTGTTACAAAACAAAATAGCACTATCTTGTTTTCATAGTTCAATGTAACAATACAAAATAGCACTATCTAGTAGTCATCGTTCAATGTAACAATACAAAATAGCACTATCTAGTATTCATAGGTCGATGTAGCAAAACAAAATAGCACTATCTTGTATTCATAGTTCAATGTAACAATACAAAATAGCACTATCTAGTATTCATAGGTCGATGTAACAAAACAAAATAGCACTATCTTGTATTCATAGTTCAATGTAACAATACAAAATAGCACTATCTAGTATTCATAGTTCGATGTAACAATACAAAATAGCACTATCTTGTATTCATAGTTCAATGTAACAATACAAAATAGCACTATCTTGTATTCATAGTTTAATGTAACAATACAAAATAGCACTATCTTGTATTCATAGTTCGATGTAACAATACAAAATAGCACTATCTTGTATTCATAGTTCAATGTAACAATACAAAATAGCACTATCTAGTAGTCATCGTTCAATGTAACAATACAAAATAGCACTATCTAGTAGTCATCGTTCAATGTAACAATACAAAATAGCACTATCTTGTATTCATAGTTTAATGTAACAATACAAAATAGCACTATCTTGTATTCATAGTTCGATGTAACAATACAAAATAGCACTAGATCTATCTAGTAGTCAGCGTGCAATATAACAAAATGAGTTTGTTACAATTAAAAGTTTCGTAAAATGTTAGTTTTACAATGATATTATATACATCTAAATAAATGCTAAATTAGATAGCACTTTTAAAAAATGTAACGAACGATTGCTTATATCTATCTTCTAACTTAATTAAAAACAAAAGCACATCTGTTGTTCATAATCTTGACAACATCTCCATTTCCGTAGATAGAAAGGTAGAAAAATTGATTTTGAAAATTACTCATTTCAACACATACATTCTTGCGAGTCGATAAAATTTTAGTAAAATCTTTTAGTAAAATTAAGCTTACTAGTATATAGATAACAGTATATAATAAGTATAAAAAAATTGCTTACCGGCACATGAACAGCGGTCATTGTCGTTGCTGGTAAAAGTGAATTCCTACTGTAAACAAGCTAAGCTGGCAGCTATCAGTGTGATTTTGTTTTAAAATCGTTTTAACAAGTAGACGTTTGTTACGTCATCGTAACATGACAAAAGGCTTTATGTCGGCATTTAAAAAACCCCTAACAAAAACTTGTTCATTTCAGACACAATTAGATTCTATATTTTTACTTGAAGTTAAAATTAATGCTTTACATTCACGCGTCGGGTTAAACCAAATATAGGTAATCAGATATAGAAAGAGGGTATCATGTTATTGACGCGTCATACAATTAACCAAAAATAAGTTATGATAATTTGTGTAGACGCCGCTTGCAAGCATGCATTTGGTTATTTGTGAAATTTTAGACTTGATTTTGTGTATTTTTTCGTTTTAACAAAATCACACTGTTCTCAAATTTTCTAACAAAAATAGCTTTTCTGATGCACAACATGTCACAGAGCTTTAAGGGATTAGAATAAACGTCTAACTGAAATTATAGTGCCATGTTTGAATATCATATTCTTTTTTATCATCTTATTTTATCTACATAATAAATAACTTCTATAGTCGATCGTTCTAAAACTTAACCGTTGAAAGAGGTTACGACTGAGGCAGTGACACATACTTCATTTGCTCCGCCTCTGTTGAAGTTCGGCTCCGCCTTAAATTGTCGCGAAAATTTAAAATAATGCTCCGTATGCTAGCATTTTGTCTTCGTTGACGGGGCAGAAGGGAACCAGGACAACTTTGATCAATATCACTTGTCGAATATATCATTAAATTACATGTCACAAAACCTAATCCACGCCCACTATCAGAGAGGCGGTTCTTCCGCAACCGTAAACTTGTTACACTACGGCCAGTTAGGGGAGATCACTGCAGAACAGTTCGTCCTCAAAATCATTCGAACATTATGCAATTCGTACCAATATTTAAATGTATATATTCTCGGGACATATTGTCTTGAATTCATTATATCAAGTATACCAATCATTTCAATTTTACTTGTTATCCAATTTATTTTGCTTCGACCAGACGTTTCAATCCTTGTCGCGACAGACAAACATTTTATAATTTCAGACATGACATTACTTTGTGAATTTATGCATTAGGTTCTTCTTTTTCAAAAAAATATGCAACTTTATTATTAAACAACAAACACATACCAAGAACATGTAGAAAAATTGATTTGTGCTTGGATATTCAACTGTACTTTAATGAATAATCTAACACGACCCGAATTTTTCCCTATTGAACATAAAAGAACCGAAAGTGTGTGTTATTTAAGAAATAATATATCCAAAACAGTGATTTTTTTTATCGCTCAATAACATCATTGTGAGAGGAATTATATCACGAGGGTGTAGCCCGAGTGATATAATGATGAGCATCCGAACGACAAACAGTGATGCATGATGTTATCAAGCGAAAAAATCACTATTTCGATTCTAACACGACATCAATAAATAAATGTTGCTGTATCTGATATTTACCTATATTGCGCCTGATTTGTTCCCGTACTTATTTTCAGCGCGTCACATTTTTTAGTGGTTACGTCACGTGTATAATGATTACGTCACATGTCTAAATATAGAACGTCAAACTGTGATTTTATGTATATGTTAGTGTTCATCCGTGCTGTTCTACAGAAATAAGAAACTTCGACGGGAGCGATAGCGACAGGAGAATGTTTCTAATTTCTGTAGAACAGCACGGATCATCCATTAATACTAACATATTTAGTGTCAAACTTTATTTGGCCTCATTATCATTCACTTTAGAATCTATTACGTCACTATGCGGTTCTGAAAATAGAAGTCGACTATGGACATAGGTGTTCGGCGCGTTGATTGGTCACTACCACCCCCTCCCCTACACCCACTCTACAACCCTCCTTACCTCTCAAAACCATGTAAAATGCAGTATTTTTCATTTGAAACATGTTTTTGCAAAATTTTACTATGAATTTCAATAGAATAAGAATAAGTTTGCAACCAAAAATGTTTGAAGTATAAGTCTGCAACCAAAATGTGCTTGAACAAGATATTTTTGTGTATTGAACGTTATCTTCAGACTTGCGAACTAAACCATTTGTACAGCATTGACAGAAACATATTTTGTTATTGTTAAATGCAGTTCAAAACTTACAAATTCGAATAAATTAGGAGAAAAACCGACCAGAACAGTCACATGTCAAATTTCAAAATATCTACATGATCAGTTTATATCTTCAATAACTTCGTCAAAACAGAATCTAGGATGCTGAAACCTTAAACCGAGTGTGGCATATATATTTCATTATGGAATAGACATACTAATGAACTTCAAAATAACAAAGAAACCCACTTGCCTGGCAAAAACTCGTTCGCCCGTTTCAAATAATCACGCCGTTTTCGACATTTTGTCAAGTTTGCAACCGATTCGCTCGCTTGAACCAAGTGTGCAACCACTTCACGTCCTGCCTCTTGTAAACAGTCCTCCTTCATAGACGTTCAAAACATGTCAGCTTTAATTTCTGTATTCCCTTGGTTCAGAATTTTGGTCAAGGCCAAACCTATAGATCTTACTTGCTCATGTACTAAATACAAATATTTCAAAGACCAGTCTGACCCGAACAACGAAACTTCTTTTATATAATACATTACAAAAACAGAAATAATACACAATGCTAAAAACCACTTATCGTAATTTTGTCAAAATATTCATATTGCGCTGTAGAAGATGAACGAGGAATCGAGCGTAGATCTACTTTTAGCGCGCTGGTGAGGGATGTTATCACATTTTCATTATCCCTTATGCAGAGATTCAATCAAACCGAGTCAGTAATTTTCATGTAATTTTGCTGATTTTAATGCTTCCAATGGATCACTTTTTCCAGATATTTCAATAGCAGTAAAAGTGTTTGTGTGATTCTATTTAAAGAAGCATCAGCAGATGTTATTAAAAGAGTTTTTAGTGTAGACCATCGAATATATTTCACTATAAGTATGAGACTTCTCGTATGCCATATGACGTACATCAGGGTCTTTCAAATATTTGAGCCTGTGTTTCGTGTCCGCTCCATACCTCTCGTATTCTTTGAAGGATTTTCATGAAACTTGGCTCAAATATTCAGCTCACTGTAACACTCTTCTTTTAATATAGTATCATTTAAGTTCAGTACTATTAAGATTCACAAATCTAGTTACTTCTTGTAATTGACATACTTTACGCTCACTACTATAGTTCACTGATAGGGATTGGTGCAAATTATCATTCTGTTTGACAATATAGTTTTCATTTGAATGTATGCTATGAAGCAACGCTATATGTCGCAACTAACGCTAAATGTCGCAACGCTGACGCTATATGTCGCAATCAACGCTATATGTCGCAATCGCCTACCGCTAAATGTCGCAACGTTGCCGCTATATGTCGCACAAAAATCGATTGCCGCTAAATGTCGCAACCCCTTGACGCTAAATGTCGCACTTGGTAGGAAAGTAACAGATGGAACTGAAACAAAAAGTAAGTGTTAAAACATTTAAAGTTTATACCATTTACACATGAAAACATATCCTAGTAAGCAAACAAAAGTTGTATTTCGCGGTCTATGGCAAAAACCTTGTATGGCCATAGAAACGGTTTTTGATAAAAGGGATGGATTTGGTTCTCAACCACGGACCAGGTGTGAGATCAAACTTTCTCTTTGAGGATGTCTTTCTCACAAAATGCATCAACAAAAACATTTGGATATACATGTATATTTGTTATATTATTTGACATAACTGAGCAAACCGCTTGTTAATGCTAAGGGGGAACTATATCTTAATATATATTTTATATTATACCTGTTCATAATCTGACTAGATAGGCTTTACTACATGTAAGTATTAAATAATACCCAATTGATCTGTTGATCGATATTCGTAACTATGCGGTGTATTGATTTAGGTTTATGACAGAATTGTTATACTTTCATAACTTTTTATATTTATCTCAATATTTCTTTGGGAACATTAATGAATCAATATACTATGGAATTGCCAAATGTTGACTGCCTACTGCTTACTGTCAACTGCTTACTGTCAACTGCTTACGGCTTACTACTTATTATTCACTGCTTATAGCATTAAAATAAAAATGGACGACCTATTACAACTATATTGGTCAAAAAATTATTCAGTTGCCGAAATAGTTGCCGTTCTGGAGGTCAAACACAATATAGTGCAGTGGTATATAGGCCACTTCCAACAGCCTTGCTGTTGGGTAAACCCTTTAGCGATGTGGTTGAGGTGTCCGCCTACGGACAAAGAGGTCTGTTGTTCCAAACCCGGTTGGACCCTTGGTATTTTTCTGCCTCCTAATTTACTTTATGGTGTCAGAAGTGTTTGACGGACTCATGCGGTAAGCAAGGAGTGTCATTCAGGAGAGTTGGCTAGCTCTGAAAAGTGAAGAGGGGAGGAGTGTAGTGGTTGTAGGTATATAGGCCACTTCCATCAGCCTTGCTGTTAGATTAACCCTTTAACGACGTGGTTGAGGTGTCCGTCTACGGACCAAGAGGTCTGTGGTTCAAAACCCGGTTGGACCCTTGGTATTTTTCTGCCTCCTAATTTACTTTAATAGTTTACAGGTACATATATATTCTTAAAACAACATTTAAAGGAATTCACTGATAAATTAATAAATGCATGGACTATAACATGGAATTCCATAAACGACAGCCTACTGTTAACTGCTTACTGTCTACTTCTGACTAACTACTGCCTACTGTTAACTGCCTACTGCTTACTGTCAACTGCCTACTGTCAATTGCATACTGTCAACTGCTTACTGCTTATTGTTCACTGCTTATAGCATTAAATGTACCAAAACCTAAATAATTATGCGTGTCTGTGCAATAAATCGTTGATAACTCGGTCGGAATCCTTTGGCTGATACATTGCAAATAAATACGCGCAACGCACGGTAGGCAGTAAGCAATAGTGTAAGCAGCGCGCAGTAAGCAGTCAACAGTTGGCTGTCGTTTATGGAATTCCATAATATACTGTAATCAAACATTTCCAATCGATCTTCGTAATGCACAATCACTATACATGAAAACTTGGACGTAGCTTTGTTTTATCCAAAAATCTTTAAAAGGCCCCTTTGAATATAAATACATGTATATATTTAACTCATTTGAATATGCTCGGTTGTGTACTAAATTTTTATTATGTCGTGAAATTGATCTCGCTCA